ATGGGCCTCATTTCTCTAGTAGCATGATAGGGTAATCACAACACGGAACCAAGCCACAGTACTCAGGACCTCCCTTATCAACTCCAGGTGCCAAGTCCTAGACTGGGAACTTAATTATTTCACTTCCTCCTCACAGGAACTCAAGCTCAAGAAATGAGGACTCAGAATTTAAGTAACTTGTCTAAAATAAGCCAGCTACTAAGTGGCTATGCCTGAATTGAAACCCAGATCTAACCTCAGAGGAAAGTAGATTAACATTAATACAGGTTATAACCAGATAAAATATAGGCCAATTTTGAAGAAAAGCCTTGGCTGCAAGTCCAAACATTAACAAAGACTAAAAACAATTCAGATGAAGAACGAGCTGCCTTAAGAATGGGAAGCTAAAGACACAAGGGTCACAAGGTAATGGACAAGACAGGTGGTATGATCCCCTACCAGCCCCCATTCACTGCAGTCGTTTCTCTGTCTTTCCTCTTCATCCTCTCTCCTCTTTCCTAATTTACCATCTCTTTCTTTTCTTTTATCCCTTTTTTTTTCCTTTTTAAACTGTAGCATAGCAAAGCATATGAACTTTGCATTCAGATAACCTGTGTTCAAATCTAAGACTCATTTCTTATTGTGTGACTTTGGGCAGATCACATAACCTCTCTAAGTCTAAATGTTCTTAACTATAAAAGGATAAAATCTCCTACCTTTTAGGTTGTTGAAGGGATTAAATCAAACAGTATTTATGAAGAGATGACCAGGTCTCCTAGTAGACTGAGATTTAACTTTGAGGGTCTGTGAGGCTTGTTGGCATACAATTTAGAATTCGACAGTCTTGGATTTGAATCCCTGCTCCAACACTTACTGGCTAAGTTATTTGGGCAAGTCTTGTAACCTTTATGTACCTCAGTTTCCTTATCTATAAAATGGAATAAATAGTAAAGACGTAATAGATTTGGGAGATGATCAAATGGAACAATAAACATTTAGAATCTATAGATATTTAACGATATATTAACAAAGAAACCTGCCTTTCAGTAGAACTTATAGTAGCTGACTTGTTCTCTAGCAGCCCATGTTTGCTGATGCCTAATTTATGTATCACGTGTGTCGCCACTAAGGACTGGTAAGTGCTAAAGCACAAAGAAATGCTAATCTTGAACCTATCTTCTGAGGCTGTAAAATAAATATAAAAAGAGGGAGGTAGAATGGTACAATGCAATGAAAAACCACCGCAGGAAGCATGGGTCCAGTCCTGCTTGGGCATTAACTGCCTATGTAATGCTATATAAATCAAACAGCTATCTCTGGTAAATGAGGGGGATGAAAATATTTTTTATATTCCTGATTGAGATTGCTACTGGCATTTAGTGGGTAGAAGCCAGAGATGCTGCTAAACTTACTACAGTGCACGGGACAGATGCCCACAGCAAAGAATTATCTGGTCAAAATACCAATAGCATTGAGGTTAAGAAGCCCTGGCCTAGATGACTGCTAAGTTCCCTTCGAGCTCTAATGTTTTAAGAGACTATGATGAGGCAGCACCAACACCAAACAGATGACATTCTTGCTAACATCTATCAAGCAATGGCTCATGACATTGCTCAAAATCCCCCTAAAGCCAGTGGGGGAAAATTTTCCCTCCAATATTTAATATTCTAAAATCAGTGCTGTATTTCTGAGGGTGAAGACAGCCTTTCCTCACAATAGGAAGAAACCCAGAGGGATGCCTGGGTGGCTCAATTGGTTAAGCATCTGCCTTCAGTTCAGGTCATGATCCCAGGATGCTGGGATCGAGTCCCACATCCAACTCCTTGGTCAGGGGGGAGCCTGCTTCTCCCTCTGCCTGCCGCTCCCCTTGCTTGTGCTCTTTCTCTGACAAATAAAATTTAAAAATCTTTTTAAAAGTTGTTTAAGATAGGGGGGCGCCTGGGTGGCTCAGTCGTTAAGCGTCTGCCTTCGGCTCAGGTCATGAATCCAGCGTCCTGGGATCGAGCCCCACATCGGGCTCTCTGCTCAGCGGGAAGCCTGCTTCTCCCTCCCCCACTCCCCCTGCTTGTGTTCCCTCTCTCGCTGTGTCTCCCTCTGTCAAATAAATGAATGAAATCTTTAAAAAAAAAAAATTAAATTAAATTAATTAAAATAAAAAAGGAAAGAAACCCAGGGATGAAGCGGGCACAATCCTCCAGGGACTTGGTTCCTTGCTCTTTGCAGTTAGAATCTATGCTTCCAAAGTCATCAGTTCCTTCTGGCCAAGAAGCTGATTTAAATAAGTCTGAATGAAGGCCAGAATAAGATAATACACACGACAGCAGAGGTGAATCTCAAATACATCATGCTAACTGAAACAAGCCAGACCCAAAAGACTACATACTATTTTATTATATTTACATGATATTTGGGAACAGACAAAACTATAGGACAGAAAACAGATTAGCAGTTGCCAGGGGCTGGGGGTAAGGAGAATAGTTTGACTGCAAAGGGACACAAAGGCATCTGGGGAATGATGCACTGTTTTATTTATATACTGATTATAGTGATACAACTGTGTCAAAACTCACAAAACTATACACTGTACATTAAAAAGGTGAACTTCACTGTGTCTAAATTATACTTCAATAAAACTGCCCCTTTCACCCCCACCCCCAAAATATGACCACAAATGCTATAGAGAAGATTGTTGTACTTCGGGAGAGGTTGAACTGGATGACATCAAAATTCTTTCCACCCCATGTCCTGTGATTTTATGACAGTCTGCTTCTCCTACCCTGGTGACCTCAGAGTTAAGTCTGGGCTGCAATTTCTGTGTTAAAGCGATCAGTCTCTCTGACCAAATCATGTGTATATGAGTCCTGCCATCATTCAGAGATCTCTGGCCCTACTTTAGCTTGTGACAGAGGCTCCTTTCCTGCTTCTCCTATCTTAACTCCTCTTGGGACTGATAAGGGCCTTCGACAATTAATAAACAAGTGAGAATAAACCTCAGGGGACACAGGTTTTATCTCTCTGTACAGGCTTCCTGTCTAAATCCCATTTGATCTTTCCATTGAACTCCAAATCAGGCAACAGAAGAAGAATCATATTTATGAACTCCCTTCCACTATGGACTTTTGGGCTTCCCACTATATTATATTTAGACACTTAAGCTATATAAATGTAAAATGGGAGCCTCACACCAAAATTATATCCAAGTTTGTTGAGACATAAATAGATATGTAGTTTTCTGTTTACACACATTATTAACCCAGATTATTGATCTATCAAATGATACACAAAACGGTTAACTTTTCCGGTATCCAGAATAGCCCTAGGGCACCTATGTGGCTCAGTCGGTTAAGTGGTGGACTCTTGATTTCAGCTTAGGTCATGATCTCGGGGTCCTGGGATTGAGCCCCATGTCAGACTCCCCAATCAGCAGGGAGTTTGCTCCAGGATTCTCCCTCTGCCCCTCCCCGCCTCATGCATGTGCACACATACACATACACACACTCTCTCTCTAAAATAAATAAATTTTAGGAAAAAAAAAGAATAGCCCAAGATAGGCTATGGCCAGGGAGGACTAAAATAGACATTAGAATGCTCTCACTTTCTACTAATAAAGACCACTGTCTTTTATGACACATATACAGTCACAATTGTGAACTACTGTAGGAGTCCCATTCTCTTATTTGAAAATCAGCTCCTTTCTTGGTTATTCATGGAGGATCTCAGTGGAACAGATACAAACACCAGGAACCAGACATCTCATATACGTTTGAGTGCTACGATAAAAATCATGGGCCAAAAGACAGGCCTGGACCTGCCAGTGCCTCCATATTTCAAAGGACAGAAAATATGGTAGAGATGAGGTAATATCCATACTGACCTTTCCTGCTGAGCATTTACAGCAAACACATTGTCACTACAAATATAGGGTGCTCATATTACAACAGAAGGAGCCCACAACAACAAATCCCACGGTGGTCTAGGGTCTTGTTTCCACATGTTCTCCTCAGAAAAGAAGAATGGGGGAGTTACACTTTCATGATTTGAAATTATTCAATCATCTTCAGAAGTCTGCAGCAGCAAAAAATCAATACTGTCCTCTAAGTCACTCAAACTTGATAACGTTGCTTCTTTGGCATAATCTGAAAAAGTCTCACAAAAAACTGAAACATTTAGCAGAAAACATATGTTAGCTTTTTATTCAAAAGTATATAGACTGACTTGGGTGCCTAGGTGGCTCAGTCGGTTAAGCGTCTGCCTTCAGCTCATGTCATGATCCAGGAGTCCTGGGACCGAGTCCCGCATCGGGCTCCCTGCTCAGCAGGGAGTCTGCTTCTCCCTCTGCCCCTCCCCCTGCTCGTTTTCTCTCTCTCTCAAAATAAATAAATAAAACATCTTAAAAAAAAGAAAAGAAAAAAAGAAACAGAGAGAAGTCCCGTAGACCCACCTGGCCAAACCTGCTGCCTCAGAAACTTGTGACAGCGCTAAGTAGAACTACCAGACACAAGAAGGGTGACAGCCTTGCTGGGAAGGCCTTGGCTGGTCCTCTCAATCCTCAGCACATCAACAGAGTTCACCTCTTACATACCTTGCAGACTGCCAGACTAGTCGTCTAGGCCTTTTACATTCAGCCGACGACCATAAGCACAAGCCTAAGATTCAAAGATACTAGCCTCTAGGATTCCTGAGCCCTTCTGCTGTATATAACAAAGGCCAACTTTGAGATGAACCCATTTACCTGCCATAGGAGTAGAACACTACCTGAACTAACGTGTACCCACCTGAATCATGCTGAGGCCCAAGCTTAAGTGGACCCTAGCCAACTTCTATGCCCTCGGCAAGCAGTCTTTTCTCATCTCCTTTGTTCTTTCTGCAACTGATGGCCTTTCACTACTACTTCTTAAAACATTATTAGTTTCTGACCAAACTATTAAAGTAAGAAACAGCCAGGCCCCAATTGCATGTTAATTTCCTAATAATTATCCAGTTATGGAGCACTGAGGAGAGTGAAGGAAAAATGACATTACCACATCCTGAGATGCATACTGAGGATCCTCTGGGTTGACTGACCAGTAGCAGTAATCAAAGCCAAATGCCACAACCTTCTCTCGAGAGTCTCCAAAGCCATCTGGTCGATTGTCCATCTAAAATCAAACAGAATAGAGTCTTCTCTATCATAATGTCAGAATCTAGCCAGTGCCACTTGATTCCTCCCTACTATAGCTAGAGAGACCCAGACTGATCATGAGAATCTTTACGTTATCTACCCAAAAAAGAAAAAAAGTAAACTCTGTCTTCATTTCATCAAATAAAAGCTCCAGAGAATTAAATTTGTCTCTCATACTATCACCTATCTGCCTACATATGAACCAAGCTTAGGAAAGAAAGCCTTTCCCTCTCTGACCGTCATGGGCCATATCACTATCATTTTTTCTCCAAGTATTTCTAGAAAGGATACCGGAGAGCATGAGTAGTTCAGTCCCTGAGCCTGACAGATTCTGTCAACCTAGGACTTTCACAGAGGTCCCTTGGGTATCCATCCCCAGTGATTAGAAAGCACAGTGGATAGAAGAGCAAGGACCAATCCAACTACTCAGGGTAGATGAGGGTAGAGTCAGAGATTGGAACCGCACTGACCTCCAGGTACTGGGGAGAATGGTATTACTGCCACAAATGTTTTAATCTTACTATTTAATATTTAGACTCTGAACAGGGATAGACAAACCCTAGCACTAGCCACCATAAACTACAGTAGAAAGAGGCTGTCAGAATAACTAAGAAATTCTTAGCGGATAATTGACCTCAAGGAAGTAAGCAGTTAAGCAGGTGTGCAGGGGGCAGATTAGAGTTTGATCTTGGCCAGGATTTATTCTTTTTTTTTTTTTTAAAGATTTTATTTATTTATTTGAGACAGAGAGAATGAGAGATAGCACGCGAGAGAAGAGGGTCAGAGGGAGAAGCAGACTCCCTGCCGAGCAGGGAGCCCGATGCGGGACTCGATCCCGGGACTCCGGGATCATGACCTGAGCCGAAGGCAGTCGCTTAACCAACTGAGCCACCCAGGCGCCCTTGGCCAGTATTTATTCTTAAAAAAACAAAACTCTCAGCTCTAAGAACAAAGCAACAAAGATATAAATAAGAGACAGCAGAGAATAAAAGGTCTTTTGTCCCTGGGGAGCTCCTACTGAAAGTCTGGCAGGTCCCATTCTCTTTTATTCATTTATTTATTTTTTAAAAGATTTTATTTATTTATTTGACAGAGACAGACACAGCGAGAGAGGGAACACAAGCAGGGGGAGTGGGAGAGGGAGAAGCAGGCTTCCTGCTGAGCAGGGAGCCCGATCCGGGACTCGATCCCAGGACCCTGGGTTCATGACCTGACCTGAAGGCAGACGCTTAACAATTGAGCCACCCAGGCGCCCCAGGTCCCATTCTCTTTTAGCAGAGAGGTTCTGACAAAAGGAAACAGATCACATCACTGGGGTGGGCATAGCCGGTAGGCCTGGGGTCCAAAGAACCCTCACTCTTACCAGTCAGCTTCCTTAACTCTCAGGGATGCTGAACACCACCTGCAAGCTGTCTACAGCAGCAGGCACAAGGCCAGTTTCCGTCTCTCTCCACTCCCCAACGCCAGAGAGAAAGAACCCCTTCCACTTCCACTGTTCTGGTAAATGGAGGAATAAGATGGAGGAAACTAGCCCTGGGAGGGGGGTGACGGGTGGGGGAGGAAGTTCCCAGTGTTTGTCCAATTGTGACTCAAAGGTCAGTCAGATCTGTGAAAGAAAATCTGCAGCACAACTCAGGATAGTGACTGACTCCCTTCTGGGATCTGATGCATACTAAATCTGTAGTAATGCCTCTAGATTAAGTGATATCAAATGAGAGGCTTGGGACAAAGTCTGGTGGTCTGGTGAGTTAAATATACCCATGGACGTACCCAGCATGACTTACACTAGCCATGACGCCCTTAAGCTGTAAATGACCAGTTTCCAAACAAGCTGCACCCTGTTTGACAGAACTTGGGCTGCAGTGGCCACAATCTCTATACTTCTTTCCCGCTTTATTCTTTTTTTTTTTTAAAGATTTTATTTATTTATTTGAGAGAGAGAGAGAATGAGAGATAGAAAGCACGAGAGGGAAGAGGGTCAGAGGGAGAAGCAGACTCCCTGCTGAGCAGGAAGCCCGATGTGGGACTCGATCCCGGGACTCCAGGATCATGACCTGAGCTGAAGGCAATCGTTTAACCAACTGAGCCACCCAGGCGCCCTTTCCCGCTTTATTCTTATACTTGCTTTGTATAAAACTCATCCTTCTCCCAAACCGCCACCCTAAACCCATTCACATACACATCTTCATCCCAGAAGCCCCTGTAATAATATAAACTCCTCAGTGGAAAGAGAAAGGAAAACAATTTCAGGCTTACCTTTAAATTTCTGATTTTTGCCACTTTGCCATCAACTTCCACAATAATTCTTCCCCCTTCTTTGGTCTCCCTAGAAAGAAGACCCAAACCCATATGAAAAGAACCATTGCTTTAAAAAAAAAAAATCAAGAAAAGAGAAGCTGAGATCAGCGCTACTGGGACAAAATGTTTCCCTAGTGCTGTCTCTATAAGTAGCTGTCCCTGGCTGACACACTTCTCTGGATCATTAGAATTTGGCTCTGAAACAGCTAAGAATTACCACTATTTAGCACCCTCCATGTGCCTAGGCACTGTATTAGGTACAGTACACATTATACTTCATCTTATGCAATCTTCCCACTAACACACTCTCCTGACATGGCTTCCTACCATACCTTCATTTTTTCAGATGGAAGACCGAAGCTAAGAGAAATTATGTAACTTGTCCAAGGTCACACATCAAGCAGTGGCAGAGCTGGGATTTTAAACCCAGATCTGTCTGACCACAAAGCCTGGGCTCTTAACCATACCCTTAGAAATCAGGCTTGAAATTCTGGAGAGTATCCTTCGCTCAGTGTACAAGGCATCCCTTCTCGCTTTCTCTGGGATTTTGAGCATGGATAGTAATGAAAAAGGTTTCGGAGTCCTCTCTGTTGAGATACTGAGAACATATTTCCCAAATCCTTTCCTTTCATCTTCCTAAATTGGAATGAGAGCCAAGATCCTCAAGAATTTTCCTATGCTGCAGTTATGTAGTAACACTGCTAACAACTAACCAACACCTAAATTTACTTTAAGGAGCTTAATCCAAGTGACCCATACACCTGAAGCCCCAAATGAGTGGAATATACTCCATTCTATAGATGAAATCTTTTTTCATAACATAAAAACTTTTAGCAAAAGTGCTCAAGGCCAGAATGTTAAGAAGAATTAAATTCATTACCATTTCCTCCACTACAATGAAAGTAATCATTTAAATTACTCCTAGCCCAGGACCTTAAAGTTAAGAAAATATGTTCTGTCTCATTTTTATCCTTCCTCATGGTTCCCAGGATGTGACCTTGAGAATTTGGGGAGGGGAGGACAGGCACAGTGAGACAGGGGTCTTTACATTTAGGATTATTTTTTTTAACCAGTAAGTGAGTCTGGGATAAAGCCCTGTATAGAAAATTTCCCTCTCCCATGTAATAACATTTGTTACTTAAATTTCCTCAAGGCCCTAATGCTCTTTATCTCGCATTTCATGCTAGATAGTATTTAAGGCAGCAGAGATATTCTTAGTCCTTGAGGATCATAAACCACACCCCCCCACACACACATACACAGCCCTCAAGAATTCTAAAGAAAATCTTTCATCTTTGCTGTTAACGTTTTACAAGATAACTTTTTTTAAAGATTTTTATTTATTTATTGAGAGAGAGAGAGAGAATGGGAGAGAGAGAGCATGAGAGGGAGGAAGGTCAGAGGGAGAAGCAGACTCCCTGCTGAGCAGGGAGGACTCCAGGATCATGACCTGAGCCGAAGGCAGTCGCTTAACCAACTGAGCCACCCAGGCACCCAAGATAACATTTTTTTTCCTTTCTCCCTTTTAAGGTAGATTTTCTTATCTCTCCTCCCCCTAAAAAAGTAATACACAGATTGTAGTAAATTTGGACAATAAAGAAAATAAAAAATTAAGCAATAATTTTTCCAAATCTATTATCTAATTTTTTTAAAGTATACCCCCTTTTTTTTTTAAGATTTTATTTATTTATTTGACAGAGAGAGATACAACGAGAGAGGGAACAAAGCGGGGGGAGAGGGAGAAGCAGGCTTCCCGCAGAGCGGGAAGCCCCATGTGGGGCTTGATCCCAGGACCCTGGGATCATGACCTGCGCCAAAGGCAGACGCTTAACGACTGAGCCACTCAGGTGCCCCAAGTATGCTCTTTCTTGAGGATTCATCTAAGACCCTTTCACATAAAGCAGCCTGAAAAGAAGTGTCCTGAATTTGACTTCTTGGAAGAAAGATACAATCTATAAGGGTAAGATGCTGCTCCTTCCTGGCCTGGAACACTGCCATTGGTAACCTAGTGATTCCAAACTATTCTAAAACAAAATGAAGGAGAATTAAAATTGAGCAAAACAGAAAGAAGGGGCACCAACCTCAACTGGGGAGCTGGCCACACAGAGTTCAATGAAAGTCTGCAGAGATGGAGCCTTACACATGGCAGAGTGGCACTACTACCACTTGCCTCTGGGTCCTGAATTCTACCAACAGGCATTCATTCCTTAGGATGAATTTCCCTTTGCACAGGGATAAACCCTCAGTTACACATTTACTCCCAGAACAATGTTTCTCGAAGTGTGGTCCACAGGCTACCTTCATCAGAATTACATGAGATGGTGGGGCTTATTAATTCAAATTCCTGTTAACAAGTTGCATTATGGGGGGGAGGGAGGTAAAAAAACAAAACAAAGCAAAATTGCATTATAACAAACTCCCTAGGTGGACTGTATGCATACTATAATTTGAGAATCACTGTCCAGAAGGGAAAATAAGCAAGCCATGACCACTTATTATCTATTCATTTGTAAAACTTAAAAAAAAAATAGACAGCTAAGTATAAGCAGTAATAAAAATATATAGCTAACACTTTGTTGGACACTTAAAATGAGCCAAGCTCTAAGTATTTTTAATGTATTCTTTCATTTAATCTTCATAAAAAACCACCGAAGTAGTTCTCCTACTTTACAGATTAAAAAAATTTAAAAAACCACAACACACACACACACACACACACTCTCCATAGAAAGGAAATATAGTATAGGAACAGTAAATTTTGACAGGGCAGTGGGGAGTGTTCCAAAGGCTACAATATTGGCAGAAGAGAACGTGTTCTTTTAATGATAAATGATTTTGGATAGACAAGGGACAGCATCACATAATGAGCTACAGACTTTCTAATTACGGGAAACTGAGTGGGGAGGCAATCAAAACCATGTACCACATTGCCATTTTACTGATGGTCAGTTCTAGTCCTACTAAGCAAACAGGCATTTGATCAAGAAGTATAACTTTTCTGTAATATCAGGAAGGAGCAGCTTAGTCTATTGAATGGAAACTTGGCTTTACCTACTTTTAGACCTTAAACAAGACCATTTTCTCATCTGGAAAAACAAAAAATGTAAGCTTAGACCAGATGATCTCTAAGATTTTTTCCCTAGTACATCAGATCCAATGATTATTAACTGAATCTCTGCCAATAACTTATTTGAAGGGTGAACAAACCATATAATTAGCAGAGTCCCTACATTCAGATGAGCTTCAGCAAAGATGGTGGAAGTTAACAAACCCTGGAGTATAGTAGCATCTCTGCAGGATTCTCTGAGGAGACAGGAGTGGTCTAGACTTCTTAGCTTGCGGGGGGGCGGGGATAACCTACTCACACCTGGGTATCTGCAGTATTGGCACTCTATCTCTTGATGCTAAAGGCTCTTAACCTGACTGAAAGTAAATAAGCTTTTGTGTCCTTCTTTTCCCCTCACTTTTGTTTGATGAGATAAATTACTCTCTACTGTGGCTGCAAGCAATTCAATTTCAAAAGCATTTTCTTAATCTAATCCACACTATTGTAAATTCCTAGCTCTCAAGGAATTGAGAAGTTACTGTTGGGAGTGGCCAAGGTAATTATCCTGAGAACCCTAAAAGAACAGTTTTGCAAAAGAAGATCTGCTAGAGGCTACCTCTAAGGTGGCATACTCCTATTATACTATTCAACCCTAAGTAACCACATCAAGTAATGTAGAAGCCAGATGTCATAAGCCACTTACCAATCTAAACAGCATTTTGGGCATGTGCTACTTTCCTTCTTTCTCCATGTATCTCTTTTGTCTTTTTCCTATTTTCTTTTCTGTTATTCTGTTTCCTTCCTTCATCCCATTGCTCTCCTCATTATTCTGTCCATTGTATGACTTTTCAAAACTACCACCATAACAGGGACAAATATAATCCCTGCTGGTACCAAATTCTGTTACGGGAGACAATGCATTTTTTGATCCTTCTGTCCAATTTTCAAGCCATCTTATGTCCTGGAAATTTTTAAACCTCCCAAATAATTCCGTTTTATGTCTTCTGGTCCCAAGCTACACTCTGCCAGCTTTGTCTCCTCTCACTCACCTCCCTCTACACAACTTCTCACCAAACAACCAAAACTCTTCTGTTTTCTAACAGCTTAAGTCCTTTATTCTTAGTGTCCTTTCTACAGAGTGCTCTCTACACCTTCTTCACCTGTCAGCAAACTAATAGCTCTCTAAAAAGCAATTCCGGGGCGCCTGGCTGGCTCAGTCGTAGAGCATGCGACTCTTGAACTCACGGTGGTGAGTTCGAGCCCCACACTGGGCATAGAGATTACTTAAAAGAAAAACAGTTCAAATACCAGCCCTTTCCTGACTTTCCAAACTTGAGTGGAAAATCAGTGAAAACGGGAAGAAATTATGTGGCTGGACATTGGACGCCTCAAGAGCTGAGAGGTGCTGCATCAGATTTACCCATGAGGAAATGCGCACTGACCACGCTGAGGAAAAGGATTAGAATAACTTCCTTCTACTTCACAGTTCTGCTGTTGATGAAACCACGATCTCCCTGGGCCTCAATTTTCCTCTCACACCTTATAATCTGGCTCTCTCCACATCTCTGCAGAGATACCCATGTGCGCCCAGGAACACAATTCCGCCTCAATTCCCACAGGTACTCCAGAGCCACCAAGGAGAGGAGACTGCCCATCCCTCTCCCCGCGTACTTTCCCAGCCCCGCTCAGGGAACTCAGTGAGAAAGGCCCAAGTCGTGCATGACGACTTGAGCCGCTGTACCCCAAAACTCCTCACAGGACTCCAGGGACACGGACACAGCGCAACCCACCCCTGACGCAAACCAGGAACCGCTATACCCCAGGACAGGACCCGTAAAGCTCTACGAGAGGCTTTGTCCCAGCAGGCCTTTAAGGTTTCCGGACCCTGGCCCCCTGGGTTACTTTGTTTCTGACTTCTCCGCGCCAGAATCACTTGAGGGAGAGGCGAAGACCTCGCCCTCCTCTCAGCTCATTTGACGCCTCAGGCGCCCCTTCCCTCCCAGACTCACCTCTTGCTGAGGGGCCGGACCCTCACGGCTACCCTCACATTCGCCATCCCTCGGCCACCACCCAAGCAGCAGGTCCGCCCAGTGGCAGCACCCCCAGCCCCAACCCCAACCCGGCCCCGCCCGCCCCACGCGCCTCACGGGACGACCCCGCCCATGCGCGCGCTGTGGGCCGGCGTGGGTGGTGCCTGCGGTGCCTCAGCCAATCATGAGCCCGATGGGCGGGAGGTCGCGGGTCCCGGCCCCGCCTGCCGGGCCCGGCTCGCTCCGCCCCGCGTCGCCCCGCCCACACACCTTCCGGCACGGCCCCGCCCATGCGCGCCTCTGTTCCACGGGGGCGGTGTCTGAGGTGCCTCAGCCAATCCTGAACCGTGAGGCCGAGAGGGCGCCAATCCCCTCCTGGTATGGCCAGGTCCCGCCTACCAGGAACCAGCTTTTGTTCTCCGACAGGGCTCTGCGGAGTCAAGTAAATACGTTCAAGTTTCGGTTAAAGCGAAGTTTACAACGGAATTTGCTAAATACGTGCATTCGCTGCGTTGGCTTGAGTTGTCAATTCCCTGTGCTTAAATTTTAGGGGCAGAAATGAAATGGGGAGCGCCGATGTTTTTGCAATTACCAGAAAAGAGCAGTGTCTCTTTGAAGAGGCCCTTGGAGTGTGGAGAAGTTTAGAGTGCTCCAAGCTTCTCTCGATTGCGATGGAACTTCAGGGCCATTTTAGCAGTGTTCGTGATTGTGGAGAGAATGCTGTCAGACCGAAATGGTTCATTAGTTCTTCCAAGAAATAATCTTGAATTATCTACCAAGAGTCAAGTGCTGTTTTAAGGTTCTTGAGGACACAGTCCAAGTCTTCGTGGAAATTAGAATCTACCAGGAAGGGAAAAGAGACAATAAATATATAATATTTCAGGATGCCTGGGTGACTTAGTCGGTTGGGCAGCTGCCTTCAGCTCAGGTCGTGAACCCGGGGTCCCGTGATCCAGTCCAGCATTGGGCTCCTTGTTCAGCAGGGAGCCTGCTTCTCCCTCTGCCTGCCATTCCCCCTGCTTGTGCGCGCGCTCTCTCTCTCTCTGGCAAATAAATAAATAAAATCTTTAAAAATATGTATAATTTGGGGCTCCTAAGTGAAATAAGTTCAGACAGAGAAGATAAAACCTGTATGATCTCACTTATATGTAGAATCTTAAAAAACAAAACTCATAAAAACAGAGACTAGATTGGTGTTTCCAGGGCTGGGGTGGAGAAAATGAGAATATGTTGGTCAAGGGATACAAACTTTCAGGTATAAGTTCTAGGGAGCTAATGTTAACAATACTGTATGGTATACTTGAAAGTTGCTAAGAGGGGCACCTGGCTGGTTCAGTCCGTAAAGCATGTGACTCTTATCTCAGGGTTGTGAGTTCCAGCCCCATGCTGGGTGTGGAGATTATGAGAGAAAGAAAAAGAAGGAAGGAAGGACGGAAGGAAGGAAGGAAGGAAGGAAGGAAGGAAGGGGCAAGGAAAGGGAGCGAGAGAAACAGAGAGAAAGAAAGAAAGATGCTAAGAGAATAAATCTTAAGTCTTCTTACCACCACCACAACAAAAAAATAGTAATTATATGAGGTGATGAATATATTAACCAATCTTATTGTGGTAATCATTTCACAATATATACATGTAAGAAATAATTGTTTTGTATACCTTTAACTTACACAGTTAAATATGAATTGTATCTCAATAAAGCTGGATAAAAAGTATTGCTGTGTTAATATATTTCTATTTTCAGGTTGGAGAGGTTGGCACAATGATATTCTGTATTTTCAAAACTGTATATACTCATAAATATTTCAATATGGGTTTTTAAAAAATAAGGACTCCTTTGTAACATAACCATAATACTATTATCACAACCAAGAATATTAGTTCCTTAATACCATAAATATTCAGAGTTCAAATTTCCCTTATTGTCTCATAAAGCTGTTCTTTTTTTTAAACAATCTGTTTAAATCAGGATCCAGATAAATTGGGTTGATATGTCTTTCACTCTTTTTTCTTTTTCTTTTTTTATTTTATTATGTTATGTTAATCACCATACATTACATTAGTTTTAGATGTAGTGTTCCATAATTCATTGTTTGCATATAACACCCAGTGCTCCATTCAATACATGCCCTCTTTAATGCCCATCACCAGGCTAACCCATCCCCCCACCCCCCTCCCCTCTAGAACCCTCAAGTTTGTTTCTCAGAGTCCATAGTCTCTCATGGTTCGTCTCCCACTCCGATTTCCCCCCCTTCATTTTCCCTTCCTGCTATCTTCTTTTTTTAACATATAATGTATTATTTGTTTCAGAGGTACAGGTCTGTGATTCAACAGTCTTACACAATTCACAGGACTCACCATAGCACATACTCTCCTCAATGCCTATCACCCAGCCACCCCGCCCCTCCCACCCCCCACCACTCCAGCAACCCTCAGTTTGTTTCCTGAGATTAAGAATTCCGCATATCAGTGAGATCATATGATACATGTCTTTCTCTGATTGACTTATTTCGCTCAGCATAATACCCTCCAGTTCCATCCATGTCATTACAAATGGCAAGATTTCATTCCTTTTGATGGCTGCATAATTCAGTAGCTTCCTTGTTCCTTTCTCTCCCTGGCATAAATTTATTTTAAAAAACCCAAAACACAAAAACAGGCCATTTTCCTGTAGATTTCCCACAGACTATATTTTGCAAATTGATCCCTGTGGTGATATTCAAGTATTTTTCTATCCTCTGTATTTTCTGTAATTGGTAGTTGAATCCAGAACCTTGATCAAATCAATCAGCACCTGTCTTTCTTTTTGTGCTATTTGCAACCACTAATGATTATCCTCTGAGCTTACTGGGTCATCAATTCATTAGGGGTTTGAAGGTGTGTGGAGGGGTGGTGTGGCTCCCCATTACCACCAGGTAATTCTCCAACATTAGCTGGATGTCCTACAATTCAATTCAATTCTGATACTACCTACCCAGAGATATAATCAGATTCCAAAGGTTAAGGGCTCAGTCCCATTGGACTGTCTTCCACTTCCAGTGCCAATCACAAACCGACATTGTTACCTGTGCTTCAGACCCACTGGCTACAGAGTGGAGGTACCCACAAACCCCTCCTCTATTCAATTAATTTCCTAGAGTGGCCTTCAGATGCCAGCCAAAAAATCTAGGTTGTTATGTGTACTTCTGTCATAACTGGGCATAGACCAAAAGCTCCCATGAGCCCCTTCTTGGGTTCAACTAATTTGCTAGAAAAGCTCACAAAATTCAGGAAACCTATTTACTCACTAGATTATTAGTTTATTACAGAGAAATTAAAGGATACAAATCAACAGCAAGATGAAGACATACACAGGGTGAGTTCCCAAAGGAGCTTCTGTCTTCATGAAGTTCAGGACCCAACATGGTAGCACATGGAAGTGTTCTGGTTCCCCACTGTGGGGAAGAAAGATTTATTCTCTTAGCATCTTTCTTTCTTTCTTTCACTTTCTTTCTTTCTCTCTCTCTGTCTTCCTTCCTTCCTTCCTTCCTTCCTTCCTTCCTTCCTTCCTACCTCTTGGGGTTTTATGAAGGCTTCATTACAAGGGCATGAATGATTAAATAATTGACTATTGCTAATCGATTCAACCAGTCTTCCTTCCTTCCCAGAGTTCAGGGAGGTGAGAAAGTTCCAACCCTCTGTTCACATGGTTGGTTTTCCCAGCAACCAGGCCCTATCCCTAGGTGGGGTCAAAAAGTCACCTCGTTACCAAAACAAGTAACACCTTTAACAGTCTCATCACTTAGAAAATTCCAAGGGTCTTAGGAGTTCTATGCCAGAAATGGGGTGAAGACCATTCATTATACATATTTCTTTTTGTAAATCACAATGTCACAGGATTGCAAAGTGATGATACTCTAATTTTATCATTCTTCATCTATTTTATTTTTTTAAAAGATTTTATTTTTAAGTAATCTCTACACCCAACATGGGGCTTGAACTCACAACCCTGAGATCAAGAGTCACATGCTCTACCGACTGAGCCAGCCAGGTGCCCCTATCATTTTTCATTTATGAGTTGAAATACTTCTACACAGAGCAACTTTTCCTCATCAACTATTTGGTTATTCTGAGGTACAGTTTACATTGCAAAGGCAGGACAAATGCTTGATTGTTTCAATTACCAGTTTTTAAAATAAGCTGGTTCCCTAGCACTTCCCAAAGGTGGTTAATGAGTTTTTTTTAATATTATTATAAATTCATGGATTTAAGCATATATGATTTGCTTCAGCCTATTGTACTTACTATTATTGATAGCCAAATCATCCTAACTTTGGCCAGTGGGAACGTCACTGAATTCTGACTCAGCTCCAGTAGTCTTTGATAGCTTCCTTTATTTCTGATATGACAAGAAGTTCCAAATTCATTTTGAACATTTCCTACTCCAAATGTGATATCAGCCATTTCTTCAAGGATTTCTGGTTCCTTTTATGTCTCTATTATTTATTATTTTTATTTAAAAAATTTTTTAATTGAGGTAAAACTGACATACATTAGTTTATCCTAGGCCAAAAAACAAGTCTTAATAAATTTAAGAAGGTATCACGCAATGTTTCCAGCCACAACATTCTTTTTTTTTTAAGACTTTTTTTATTTATTTAAGGGAGAGAGACAGCAAGAGCAGGAACACAAGCAGGGGCAGAGGGAGAGGGAGAAGCAGACTCTCTGCTGAGCAGGAAGCCCAACACAGGACTCGATCCCAGGACCCTGGGATCACGATGTGAGCCAAAGGCAGACGCTTAACGACTGAGCCACCCAGGCGCCCCTCCAACCACAATATTCTGAAACTAAAAATCAAACAAGAAGAAAACTGGAAACTCACAAGTGTGTGGAGATGAAACAACATGCTAGTGAACAACCAGTGAGTCAAAGAAAGAAATCAAAAGAGAAAAAAAATACCATGAGACAAATGAAAACAGAAACACAACATACCAAAATTTATGGGATGCAGCAAAGCAGTTGTAAGAGGGAAGTTCATAGAAATAAATGCCTA